TGTTTTCCAACCAGAGAGTGGATGCTGACTGAGGAGGCAGGGTGCCTCTAAGGCTTTTGTCTCATGGCTGTGGAGAAGTGCCATTTTATTTCTTGGTGCCACTGTGAATAACCGGCCCCTTCCTCTACCCACTTCCCTGTGTAGTCTGGGACATTATAAGACCATCTTGGCCTTTTTCCACCTGGCAGAGACTGACTGAATAGTAACCACAAAAGCTGAGGCACATTAACAGAATTAAAACTATAGACCTATATAAAATCTGTATAAAACATACAAATAATTACAATAAAAACAGCACGGTACCAACCTTTTAATTAAAAGCAGTCAGTTCCCAAAAGCCCTTTGGAGTAAAGCGGCCTTCATTCTAGCTTCTCCAAAGAGGGAGATCCAGAGTCTAGGATCAGTCACTAAGAAGGCCCTTTACAGTGTCACCACCACATCCCCAATGAAACCAATAAACGTATATTAGTCATGTCCATTAATTTAAGAAGGTCTACTCTTGAATCTGAATAATGTTGGATGCAACCATTGAAATTAATGTGCCTAAATTAGCCATCAATTTCAATGAGCCTGCTCTGAGTCGGACTAATGTTGGATACAACCTTTAAATATTTTAACTGCATTTTAGATTCCACTTTTTCTCCAATGAGTTCAAGGTAGCATACATTATTTTTCCCTCTTCCATTTATCAGATCCATCCTTCATTTCTTCCAGGTTGGGATGCACTCTCTGATTTATACAAGTTCCAGACCCAACACATTTTGGAACAAATCCTTTGTTAGGACGTGTTCTAGCAGCAACTCTCACAAAATGCTTGGGGCTATTGGCATTTGAAATTGCTACTAAAATGTGCAGTTTTTTGTTTCCTTCATGCAACATCAAGACTACAAAACCCATGATGCAGTGTGACCAATAGAAATCCATGCATATACTATAACTACTGTTTGTTCAGTTCTAGATACTAAACAAACCATATCCAGGGCCTCAAGGTTAGGTATCTTGTAATTAATTAACAATGCTGCTAAAACCAGCAGAATCCAAAGGTTGTGGAGAGATTTTCTGCAGAAACTGAAGGCTTTAGCCTAGAATGATTAAATTCACAAAGGATTCCTCCAGGGGATTTCACACATATTGAATAAATTGAAGTCTTAATATAAGAGAGGCACCCAGTGGATAAAAAGAGCATGATAATTCACCATTTTGAAGAAAGAAGGAAGGCATTGTATGGTGGAGAAGGAAAATAAATAAAACCTTGATGGAATTTCAGTTATGGAAAGCGATCAAAAGGATTGTCAAGTCCAGAGGTGGGAAACCTCAGGCTTGTGGTTGAATGTGGCTCCCCAAGCCTCACTCTCTCACTCTTTTGGAAGTCCCTCAAGCCATGTTGCTGCTCTGCAAGCTACACCACTCACCAGCCTCTAATATGCACCCCTTACACACACGCATGCACTTGGGCTCTCAGGGTCCAAAATGTTGCCCACCCCTGTTTTAAAGCATCCTTTATCCATTACCTTTTATTCATAAGAGTATTTCTAAACTTCCAACTCACACAAAAAATCCATGGTGGTGTACATTTGTAGATGTTAAGTATAATTGGTTTAATTGACACTGAAATGGGAATGCCTGTGTATCGGTGAAAAGGGTTTAACTGAAAGATTCCATTAAAGCTGTAGAAACGCAGGAAGAGCTCTCTCTGAGCTTTTTGCATGTTGATAATTAACTGTTGGTTGTTCTCTAAACTGAATATAAGCTTTGATCATGTGATGAAGGTATTGAATTGCAAATTCACCATCTTGGAAGCGTGGTGACTGGTTCTTTGTTCCCAGGGCTCAGTGGAGTAAGGATGTAAATGAAGTTCTCCAAGTAAACAGCTCCAGTTTATTTTATTTCTAAGATCCTGAGCCTGCGCTGGACAGCACAAGACATTGTATGGGTATTTTTGTTGTATCTTTGATGCTTTTGTTTTGGTTTTGAAGAAAATTCTGCAACATTCCTTGCCTGATCACTTGCCACCTGGCCCAGTTTTCACAGCTGTGGCAGCGGCTCCGGTGCTGAGTCCCTCTACCGGGAGGGAACTTTTGCCTCCCTTTCCTCCCCCCCCCTTAAACTCCCTCCTCCCACATCCAGTTAGCCACCTCCTTCCACATGCACACTCCTCCTCCCTCCAATGACAATGGGTAGATCACTGCCAGTTTTTTATACTGGGAGTAGATCGCAACCTTTTGGAAGTTGGACGTGCCTGCCCTATAGTATTTCTTTCTTTGAAGGCACCTTTACAATACATGCAAATAATCGCCTTTTTCCAACTGTTTTAGGCCTATTATTTGCTGATGTTTAATTTTACTATTTACTATTGGATTCTAATGGATTATTGAATGTCACTTTATTTGATATAAGTTGTTTATTTTAATGTTATTTTGACTTTTTATATAGGATCTGATTGTTACTATTAATATTTAATGTTTTATTCAGTGCTTTTTTTCTAAAGGAAAAAAAATGTTTAGGGGTACTCTCATTTTGACTCAAGAAAATCACCATTTTATAGGCCATCATCAGGGACAGCAATGGAACTGACGATTCACCGTGGGGGAAAAGATTGAATTGTAAGAAATCTTTATTCCCCAGTTACTTAGGTAGACACCTGAATTTAACACCCACTATTGTCTACAAGCTGTTTCTTCCTGGAATGTGGTAGCAAGCTTTTTAGGGTTCCCATGTGTCCTCTTTTTCAGAGGTTAAATTTGAGACAAATTGCATTTATTCACTTTGAATGGCCATCACAGTGTCTTCTTTTTTGCTCTTAAAATATGGCAACCCTGTTTTAGGTCAAACAGTATAAATGCTCAAGGAAGAAGATACCCAGGGTTGGTACTCCAGCTCCTCTTTTTATATATAAATTAGGAACCCCTTGTCTCAAAGTTTTGGGGTCTGCTGCAAGGCACAATAACTTTATTCCATTACAGGAAGGATTTGTCTGTTTTCCCTTTTCATGCTGTTCTGCTGATGAGTTTATGATGTTGTATCTGTAGGCATGGACACTGACTGAATAATCAGTTTGGGGCAAAAAAGAAAAAGAAAAAAACACAGTTGACACAACCTTATCTCTGTCTGTGGCATTGCTGTAATCAACTGGGAAACCCGCTGTGTTTAAAAAAGAAAAGAAAGGGGGGAACTATGACAAGGGAGGTGTCAATCTGCAAAATGTGCTGGGAAGACTGGACATTTTCTGGCTATGCAGGCTCATTTCGCACCTAGCTAGACTTTAGCCAGGCATAAACCTGTACAATGAAGATTATGTAATGATGTTCTCTCTCTCTCACTCACTCACTCACTCAGCACTTGCTTGTTCTATAACTATCTATCATCTATCTATATCTATCTATCTATCTATCATCTATCTATCTATCTATCTATCTATCTATTATCTATCTATCTATCATCATCTATCATCTATCTTTCCCTGCCCTCTTGCCTTGTTCGTCAACAGAAATTCAAATCGTAGGCTCCTCTCTGAAAGGACGCAAAGCTTTATTTGCCAGTTATCGTTCCAACATCATATTGTAACACCTGTAAAACAACTCCAACAAAACCTGGGGAGAAGAAGAAAAATAAGCTCCAGTAATTAGGGGGGAATGAAGTGGGGGGGGGAGAGAAAAAACCTGCGACAGTCAAAAACATCCAGAACTTTTATTTCTTCATGAGTAGTTGTGGCCTGTGATGCATGGCGAGCAGGCATTAAATTCTCACTCAACTCAAAGGCAAACCATTATTCTGTAATTTTGTATGTAAATAAGATGTATTAGGAACCCGCTCAAGCAATTAATTAAACAGCTGTTACAGAATAAGTGATAAAGGAAACAGGGGGATGAATATGCAGAATTTCATTTGCCCTGCCATCAATATTCATTTTTTAATTTTTTTTTATTTTAGTTCTGGTTGTGTTGGATGCTGTTGAACATCAAGAAATGCCAAACAGGATTGTCATCCCATTGAGCGGCTTTATTTCTCCGGGTTGTCAGAGGACGTGTCTGCCATTCTGCGATGGCAGCAAGACTGAATGGCATTGTGCAACACGGCATGGCTGCCCAGGTGGTCTAGTTGCACAGGTCTGAACATTCCCGCTACACATTCCCTTTAAATTCTGTGAAGGTTCAGCATTCCAGATTTGGGCACAAGTTTTAGAATGCCATGTACAAATATGTGAACTGTTTGGTATCAGATTTGCTTTTGACTCCAGCTTGCATCATGGAAGACCATTCACGCTCAGTTTCAGTTCAGCCAGTCCAATTTTTATACACCAAAGTAAGGTGCTGTTCTAAGAATGCTAGAAGCTGCTCTACACCAGGTCAGACTGCTTCTCCATCTAGTCAAGAGAGGAGGAGTTGGATCTGGATAGCAGGCAGGATCAGTATCCCCCACCATACACACACAGGACACATCTGACAGGAGGATGGGGCCAGGTATCTGTCAATCACCTGGCATCATAGTGACATCAGGTGAAACATTTCCCCCCATACAGGAACTTTTCAGGTCTTGTATGAAAAGCCTAATGATAAGCCAACTGTCAGGACTTGAATAGCTCCTTGTGCTGTGCTTTGCAAGCCCCAACCAACAGCCCTATGCAGGATATTTTGCAAGCCTTGGCGATCAGCTGTTTGTTGGGGCTTGCAAAACTCTGTACATGGGGCTTTGAAGGTGCTGCTGATCAGCTGCAAACTGACTTTGTCCCAGCAACATATTTACCTGCCCTGCACCTGACATCATATATTACCAGGCCATGTTCCTCCACAGCACACATGATGCCAGGTGTAGGACAGGTGGGCATGGCCGAAATGGATTTCTGGGTCAAATGGAGGTAGGGAGCTGGTAGACCTAATTAGGCCTGGGAACTAGAGGGTTCCCATCCCTGACATCGCCAGCGCTGGCAACTCTGGCAGCAGTTCTCCAGGGTCTTTGGCAGGGAGGAGTCTTCCCATCACCTGCTGTGTGATCCTTTCAGTTGGAGATTCCAGGGATTTAACCTAGGTACTTCTGCATGCAAAGCATAAGCTCTACCACTGAGCTGTGTTCCATATGTGGGTGGATGGAAGAGGTAGAACAAACCTTGGAACTCCCATTGGCTTCAACCAGGGGGTGCACTCCTCCTGGTCTTTTCCGTGAATAAAGAAAGACACAGAGCTGCTTCCTTCTCCTGTCCCCCCACTTTGATGTGCTCCTTTCCTGGCACACCCACTTAGTCTGCCTCACAAAATGCTTGCCTGCAAAAGGCTCTTACTCTATGTAGACCAGGTGTGGAAAATTGCAGTCAAATATAACTATGCATGAGTGCTAGTTAGTGCATGAAGGAGTTAAGAACATAGAACTGCGTTCCTAGACTAAGGTCATGCACCCTCTTCTCTGAGAGGGAGGGAGTAAAGTTGTAACTAACCAAAGAAGATGTACCAAACAAGCGCCAAGCTTAGAGCATGTGCTTGAAGCTATTGTTTTGTATTCCACCTGTGTTTTTCTTACTGCTGCTTGGATAAATGCATGAACCTGACCTTTAGAACATATGTAAGTAAAGCTTTTTAAACTTACTTAATAGTGTGTGGTCTATTCATTGTAAGAGAGGTAGGAAGAGGGGAACACTATGCAACTAAATGCAATATGAAAATGGTTTAATAGCCTAAATTCCCACATATACTGCTGCTTGACTTTTGTGAGTTTAAACTCTGCTACTGTTTAAACTCTTGTTGGAGTGAGTATTGCTCTGTGTTTTGAAGCCTAGCCCCCAGCCAGTTCTTTTGTTACTTACCCCACATATGTGGGCCACAGGGATTCATATTTTCTTTCCACACTAGGGGTGTAGAACTTCAGGTCCAGGGGTTGCAAAACCACCACCCCACTCCATTCTGCTTGCTGCTGTCCTGTCCTGTCCTGTCCTGTATTTTCCAACCCTACTGGCTGGAATGTGTCCTTGAACTGGCATGGTGCCTCTTTCTTGCTCGGATGAAGAGAAGTGTTCATGTCATCACTTCCAGTGGAGCGCGATCTTGCCGCAAGTGAGGGATTCTTCACAGAGAAGAATCCCAGCTATTTCGGGTGGAAAAGGGGTGCTACAGGGCGCGGTAGCCCCCTACAAAGCCTCTGGAGGGTGTCCAGGGGTGTCAGGTTCCTGGCAGTGCCCTTAAAACTGCCCGTCTGGCCGTCAGGTAACCCCCAAAAGGGGCGAAGAGTACGGCGGAACGGGTTAGCGGGCTATCGGGAAGCCATTGCTACACCTGAATAGCGAAGCCCCGAGCTTGCAAAGAACAGCGCTTTGCTCTCAAAATTAAGAAATTTGGACCTAAATTAAACTATAAACTGCAAGAGGTGGAACTAAGGAAAGCTCCGAAATAATAAAGATATTTTTTCGAGTTCGGCTGTCATCTGGAATCAGCTTTGACGCAGCAACAAATGCAGAGCTGGAAAGCGAAAGTAAGTTGCCGCTAGCAGCTATTGTTTCCGTTTTCCCCGTAACTTTTAGAAACAAAATAAAGAAGCTAAAAAGTAACTTTGCCAAGTTCTAAAGAGGCTGAAAGAAGTATTAGACTAAAAGGGGGAACAGAGGAACTGTTGCAGTAAATAGAGATCTTTGATGGATCGGAGGACATACAGAGAGCCAAGTTCTTTGTCTTCCCACTTTCATTTTTAAAGATAAAGAAAGGAGAAGCTTCCGACTCCATTGTTAGTAGTAAAATAGAAGGGAATATGAAAAGGCTGCAGTTGCAACGTACAGGATTTAACATCTCTTATGTATCTTCAATCTCCTTATTAATTGGATTTATAATTTAGGTATATCAAAACAAAAGCTGGATTTTGTTTATCTGGACTATTAATTTATTCACCCCGGATTTGGGTACTGATACCTAGTGGATGGATTAAGTTACTACAACTTGTTTTTCTGTGCTTCTTCCAACGTTAGTGGAATTTTTTTTCTTTTTTTTTTGAAGTGACCTTGGCTCCACTTCCTCCTTGTGCTGTTTTTCCTTTCTCAGTGGAGCTTCCCTCTTCGGTTATTTGTGGTTATTTTCTGCAGACATTAAGCACCATTCTTTTGGAATATTAAACAGACAACCCAGACATTAAATTTAAGGTTTAATCGGTTCTCCTTATTGATATTGTGGAAGGATCATCTCATCCTAAGTGGAATATACAATTTGAATTTGGAGTTAAGTTCCTCATAAAAGGTGCAGGAGATAAAAAGGTGCAGAAGATCCCGACAGAACAAAAAGACCAGCTGAACACCCCAATAGAAGTTGAAGAGATCAAAGAGGTTATAAAAGAACTGAAGAGGGGAAAGGCCCCCGGACCAGATGGATTTACATCAGGATATTATAAAGAAATGAGAAATGTTTTGATGATACCATTGAAAGAAGTTATGAATAATATTCTAAAAGCAAGAGAGATCCCAGATACGTGGAAAGAAGCATTTATTACTTTGATTCCAAAACAAGATGCGGATTTAACTCAAGTTAAAAATTACAGACCTATTTCATTGTTGAATATGGACTACAAAATATTTGCGGGGATTTTAACGAAGAGAATGAAAAAAATATTGATAAGAACTATCCACAAAGACCAAGCAGGGTTTCTGCCAGGCAGACAAATGAAAGATAACGTAAGGAATATAATTAATATTTTGGAATTTCTGACTGCCAGGAATGAGAAACAAGCGATATTAATGTTTGTGGATGCTGAAAAGGCATTTGATAATGTAGTATGGGATTTTATGCTGAAAAATTTAGAATATATGGAAGTGGGGAAAGATTTTTTCAATGGAATCAAGGCAATATATACAGAGCAGAGAGCTAAGCTGATAGTTAATAATGTAGTTACGGAAGATATAAAGATATCTAAAGGAACAAGACAGGGTTGTCCGCTCTCGCCATTGTTATTTATAACGGTCCTAGAGGTCTTTTTAAATGTGATTAGACAAATAGATCAATTAAAGGGGTGACAGCAGGTCAGAATGAATATAAAGTCAAAGCCTTTGCCAATGATCTGGTTATAACGATGGAAGAACCAATGGAAAGTGTTAAAGAAGTATTGAAGGAGATTGAACAATTTGGAAATGTAGCCGGTTTTAGATTGAATAAGAAAAAGACTAAAATAATGGCTAAAAATATGGAGTATAATACGATAGAAATAATGCAACAACAGACAGAGATAGAGGTGGTGAAGAAAGTAAAATACCGGGGAATTTGGTTAACTCCTAAAAATATTGACCTGTTCCAGAACAACTATGTACAGGTTTGGAAGGGAATAAGGAACGACCTGGAGGTGTGGGGCAGAATGAAACTGTCTTTTGGGGGCAGAATCTCCACGATAAAGATGAGCGTGCTTCCAAAGATGTTATTTTTATTCCAGAATATCCCCATTATTAAGGGGATAGGGATCTTTAAGGACTGGCAAAGAGTGATTTCAAGGTATATATGGCAGGGCAAGAAGCCAAGAATAAAATTTAAATTATTAACAGATGTGAAAGAAAGAGGAGGCTTCGCCCTGCCAGATATGAAATTATATTACGAAGCAGCATGTTTATGTTGGTTAAAGGATTGGATTAAACTAGAAAATATGGAATTGCTAGACCTTGAAGGTTTTGGTAACAGATTTGGTTGGCACGCTTACCTATGGTGTGATAAGAAGAAAGTTCATAAAGGCTTTGCGAACCACATTTTCAGGAGTTCGCTAATAGAAGTATGGGACAGGTATAAGAGTCTTTTGGAACCAAGAGTTCCACATTGGTTATCCCCGTTGGAGGTTATGTGTGTAAAGAAAATTAATATGAGAGGTAAATGGGCTACATATGGGGAAATGGTGATTAAAGAAGGAGGAAAATGGAAATTAAAACCATATGAACAAATTAAAGATTATGTGTATGATTGGTTGCATTATTTCCAGGTAAACGAAATGTTTAAAAAAGATATAAAGGAAAGTGGTTATGCAGAAAAAGACTCTAAGTTCCAAATAGATATAATAAATAATGAATATAAAACTTTGTCAAAAATGTATTTGTTGGAATGGTACACGAAAGACGAAGAGGTTAAATCGGTAATGATACAATGGGCCAAAGACTTTGGTTATAACATTCAATTTGAGGACTGGGAAAAACTGTGGAAAGAAAATTTAAAATTTACTGCATGCACGGCGTTGAAAGAAAATGTTATGAAAATGTTTTATAGATGGTACATTATACCGGTAAAACTTGCAAAAATGTATAAAACATGCAATAAGTGTTGGAAATGTAAAGAAAAAGAGGGAATGTTTTACCATATGTGGTGGGAATGTAAGAAAGTGAGGAGTTTTTGGGAAGTGATATATAATGAATTGAAAAAGATGTTAAAATACACTTTTGTTAAGAAACGAGAAGCTTTTCTCTTAGGGATTACAGGAAATGAAATAAGAAGAAAAGACTGTAAACTTTTCCAGTATGCAGTTACAGCAGCAAGAATTTTATTGGCCCAGAAATGGAAACAAGAGGAAGTACTGACGATACAAGAATGGAGATCGAAATTAATGGACTATGCGGAACTGGATAGATTGACTGGGAAAATAAGATATGTTTGAAACCAAAAGTTCATCGAAGATTGGGGAAAGTTTGTAGATTATCTGAAAAATGTATGTGATGTGCAAACAACGCTAGTGGGGTTTGAAGAAGCACTGTAAAAGTATGAGATGTATTGTCAATAAGAAATAGAAAGGGGAGAGAAGACAAATGGCAATACAATGAAGGGAATGCGTAATTGAAGAGTAAATATGGATGATTACCAGAGAAGCGGAAGGAAGTCAAAAAGTTTAATTTGTTAAAACATGGAGAAAAATGTATAATTGTGTTGGAAAATTAATAAAAATGATATGAAAAAAAAAAGAGAGAAGTGTTCATGTAAAGAACCTCCCTCTGACTTCTGGGTGGTTGAAAAGTACCCTATTGTAGGAACCCTTGCAACCCCACTCACCCCTGGAATATGGCTCCTGAAAGAGGGAATTAGGCCCTTGGGATAAAAAGGTACCCCACTCCTGATATAAGCTACTGTCCATGTTGAGGAGGCC